TTTTACTGCAGCTTTAACGAAAGATAAAAATTTATATATTACAGTTAAATCATCATCACTTGACGACGTTATTGGTGATATTGATTATGATTATATTTTATGTCTTTCATTTTGTTTTAATGTACAAAATGAACCACAACTCACCAATATGCACAATCATCTTCATAAAGATAAATTAATGAGTCAACAAGAATCTTCAGCATGGTTCAAAGATCATAATATTTTAAGTAAAATTCGTACTAATTTAAGACAGTTTATTGAATTCGCTTCGGCCAATATCACTAACAACAATATAAGATTTATTGTCAATGAAGAGTATTCACTTGACGGTGTCAAACGAGCTGAAGTTATACTGTACGATAATGGATCAATAAAGAAAGGTTTTATAATGCCAAGTAAACCAGGTGCGCCATATGCAAAAGCTGTAACTCACAATAGTGTAACGCTTGAATGGACAGATGTACAAAGTGGATCGGAACAAGTTAAAAAATATAAAATCATGTATCGGAAACATAGTAGTGATAATCACGAAAAATGGAATGAAGTTTTGACAAATAATAACAGTAAAATTATGTGTATATCAAATTTGCCATCGAAAACGGCATTTGTATTCAAAGTACAATCTATAACTGGAATAGGTCTTAGCCCAGTTACTGATATTAGTGAATTGGTTGCAACCCTTGGGATGAGAAAGTTGAACTTTTCTGACACACGATTCTAAAGAAGTATTGAAGTATAAGGTGAGATATTTAGACCTTTCCAGACCATGACAGACCTGTCGTAGGAAGGAAAGAAAAGGAGCAGAATAAAAAAGGTCAAGAGTGAAAGATGAAATGTCAAAGGTGAGCGGACCTTTCTAAAAGAGTTTCAGAAGGTTTCAGATATTCCAAGAATCGACTACATCTTTCAAGAACCAGTTGTATGTTTAGAGAAATGAGCAGGCTTATCAAATTCAAATTTTAGAAATCAGAAGCCTTTCAGGAGATTTATTTTTCTAAATCAGGAGAAAAATCAGTAGATTTTTCTGTGAATTTCGAGAGCTATTCTGTGGTTTCTATCTGATAAGGTCCAACTTTTCGCTCGTATATACACTTTTTCCTTTTCCAAAACAAGGTGGCGATGAGAAAATATTCTAATAAGTGAATTAAAATTACGAAAGGATGATAGTTTTCAAAAGGTTTTTTTTTTAATAGTTATTTCATAAACAATTATTAGAATTTACAAAACATAGAAGATCAAAGGAAACTCATCAAATAGTATAAATCAACACATAAACAAAATGCATAACCCATTTACTAAAATATCTGTGACTAGAATCCCTTGAGTTAGTCCGAAACCTGGATCCTCATCTGCTCGAGCTTGGACAGAATCCGGGCGGGTTTGAGTTCGGAAAAAGTTTGGATCTGATCGATAATAATTGTATAAGAAATGTGTACTATATGCTAATCAACAAATACAAAAAACTGCAAGAAAATATCTGATATATTCAGAGTGATTATCCAATTTCGATTAAACCTTTCCTCACAGTAAAAGATCAATAATAAGTGCAACCTTGCATTGAGCAACAATGCAGTGGATGCAATAGAAAGCGCCTTACATTAATCAGCTTTTTCGAACATTCGAAATACAACTGGTACCTTTATGACAAAAAACGTCTGGTTTTCATGGTTTCGAGCTAAAAACCCTAAAATACTACGATCAATGTTTTCCCGGACTTTTAAAACTATAAAAATCTAATCTCAAATCCTTAAATCCGTTTTGGTTTTCTAGAAATTCTTTTAATTAAAAGTTATAAAGAAAAATGGGATATAACTGAAGACCTCTGTGGAAACTTTGTGTACTTGGACATAACAAAAGAACCGGGTTCTTCCATTATGGGGAGAGGCGTAGAAAATTTTATTGAGAATATCAAAGTCGGGTTAGACCAGATTAGAGCCTGCCTAGGGAAAATTTCAAAATATCATATCCAATTCGGGTTCGCGTTGAAAAATTTTGAACCTGACGGACTCTATTCATGGGTGTGGGTGCAGAACGAGAGGAGACCCACACGCACACCTGTCCACACCCACACTCACGCCCACACACCCACACCCACACGCTACACTTTCATCGTTTTTGAAACAATGAATCGTCCGAATGATATTGTTAAGATCACTCAGATTCCAATAAACCATCTTATAATAGAAGAAAAATAAGTGTCAAGTCAAAACTCAACGTTCAGAAAGAATAAAGATAATCACTTTGTACCAGTTCGTTTTTTAATGATCAACATTCGATCATTGTCAAAATAAATATTAAATAAATGAGTTTTCGCGAAAAGTAAAATTTTCATTTATTGAAAATCTATCAGTCATCTAGTTAAAAGAGACGATTGTTATTATTCATATCAGAGATGGAGAAGACAGTCAAAAAGTTATCGGGTCTCCGTCCCGTCTCATGAAAAATAATTCGAAAGGCAATTTTTTTTAATTTTCGAAAAGCCACATTAAATACATACCACCACAAATTGGCATGCAATTGGTAGTTCTGCACACTTTTAACTAGATAAAGACAGTTCTCATTATTATTGATTTACATAAGAGTAAAATGTTTCTCTTGATTTGAGTGTAAATGGGAGAATTTTACTAATAGAAACGACTTGCACAAAGCTAGATTCTATGATTCAGCTTGGCATTGAGACGGTTAGAAAAGAATCTACTTATTTTTAAGAAATAACTTTATAACATCAGCTTCTTAAAATCACGAAATTTTGTTTTTTGACACAATCCATAGAGTATCCTATAGTTTCGAGATGTCCTGTGCATAGAGTTCTTCGACTTGATTGTTTTACCAAACGATGCAGCATTAAAATCTCGACTAAAACTTAAAAAGACTTATTTCTATAGAACGATAAGGAGATAAGTTAAACGAAAAATACTTAACACCAAGAAACAGGCTAGCTTTCTAAACTGAACAACTATTTTATCCAAGTGCTCTCATGGAGTAGAATTAATCAACATTCGACATTTGCATCTACTTAACTCTATTTGAGAAATTCGAAAATTTCCAGCTGTGTCAATCTGTAGTTCAAGAACTTGAGGAAAAGGTCTGATAACGGAGCCAAAGTAGTATCTATTGAACTCGGATTTGTTTCAGAATAGTGAAAACCGATTCCTATATCATGTTCATCAAATGAAATTTTGTACTATGTTAGATTTTTCAATGTTCAACTAGATGTCGACGAAATCTTAACCGTATAACGAGCAAGAGAACATTTCAATAAACTTAAAAACATCTCTATATTCGTTTCGTTCCCTTCCTGATTGTTTGAAATTTTGCATTTAAAAAAAATAACCTAGATTGTTTGCCTATTTCTACTAGTTTAGGAGACCCCACTCAAGAAACTCGATTTTCGTGAGAAAAAGTCATTTTTGAAGTAAATATGGGAACACATGATTTTTTGACCAAATCTTGATAGAAATAAGATAGAGAGCTGCAGTTTTCATCGTTATAGACACGTGCTAAAAGGGTTTTAGCAAAAAGTATAAAATAAGCAACAATCAGATCATTAGATATCAATTGTATGAGAGAAGAGGAAAGAGAAAATTTACGCATATATTTCATTTTACATATAGTAGGTTAAGATTCTGAGGTTTCATCAATGTAGATTTTTATATGAAATAGAATAGCATATTTCTTATGAGTTACTAGTAAATACTGACCATCATTATCACTTTTTAAAAAAGTTGCAGACATACAAGTTAATAAAAAAAATTAATTTGTTATTCACGTCTGTATAACATTGTTCACTGGTGTGACGAACATAAAGACTGTTTTATGAGTGTCATCTATCGTGATATGCTTCGTGTGAGAACAACTGAATGTACGTCGATATGAGCTTTGATTGACATGTAATCTATTTATGCTTTACCTCAGTTTTCAGTAATAATAGAAGGACTATATTTAAAAAAAAGAAAACGTTGGTGTTTTTCTCAAAATTGATTTTTTCGGTACTAATCGAACTGTGAACAAATGTTATTTTCATATACTTCAAGTTAAAAAGTTGTATTGTTTTTTAATCAGTAGATACAGGGTGTTTCATAAGTTTTGAGGCGCAACAAAGTTGACTTCGATTTATATCAAGGAAAATGTCTAACCCATATGTTTTTACATCAAATTAAAGAGTCTATGGGCTTTTTTATTTCAAACTGAATTCTAAAATAAAAAAAACCACACCAATTTCTTCCGAATCAAACTTTTCTCGTTTGATACTACGTAGTCTCACTAAAAACCCTTAGTCCCCCCTAGTCCTGCAAAGTCCCCCTTAGTCCCCCCTAGTCCTGCAAAGTCCCCCTTAGTCCCCCCCACAAAAAGCTTAGTCCCCGCTTAGTCCCCTGTGCAAGGGACTAAAGCCTATAGTACACAAAACCACAAGCACACCCTCACCCTCACTCGCGCGCCCACACCCGCACCATGGGTGTGGGTGTGGGTGTGGGTCCCAGACCAACACCCACACCCTCAGTCACCCACCCCCCTCACTCCTAGACTCACGTTTCAGTTTGAAATCAAGTATTATTTTTATTTGATAAATTCAGACTGAAATTAAATAGCCCATTGTATGAAATTAAAGTACTCGTGACGCTCTATCCAATGGTGTATAATTCAATGATATTTGATCTAAGAATGACAAAAATGTCAACACAAACTTTTTAAGATCAGGTTTTCGAAATTGATCAATATATGACCGACTTCCTTAATAAATTTCGCATACAATTGACTATTCAGATAATTTTTTTGTCGTCGTTTTTCTTTGGTCTGGTTCTTCAGCCATGAGGTTACATCAAATGGGCCATTCTTTGGAATCAATCCTTCGTACGAGATGCCGCCCCAAAAAATGAGACCACTTGCAAATTTACTTTTTGATCGATAATAAATTGCTGGTGGTATTTCTTCAGCAGCTTTTGCCCAAACACCGTCATTATGTGGATTCGATGAGGAATCTAAAATGAATTTTCCAGAGAAATCTGTATTGACTACTTTATCCCATCGCCAAGTTTTTGATCTTTTCGTAGCACCAAAATTTTTTCGTAAAATCTTTGCGCATCTAACACGTTGCATTTTATTTTCAATTGTTAGTTTTTGCACTCTTTTCTTCTTAAACCATTTTAATCCTAATGATTTTGCTGTCCTATAAACCGAAGAAGGTGATGTTTTCCAACCGTTTTGTCTCAGTTTTGCCGATACACTTCTAATACTAGCTTTGGTCTTCGTTTGAATTTCTTGTAAGACTGTATTTCGATAATCTGTGGTGGTAGTAGTTCGTGGTCTACCAGATCTTTTTCTGTCATAGGTTGATCCTCTTTTTAATAAATCATGGATTTTGTTCATTAAACTATGTCGATTTAAATTTGGAGGATTATCTAATTATTCAAGGAAGTCGGCAATGTTCGAAGCAGTCCAACTAGGATTTTGTCTTTTCAATAATAATACAAATGTTCGAAATGATAATTTTTCTTGTTTACGTGCTGATTGAGAAGACATATAACCAGATAATATCGCAAATATCGAAATAAATATCAATTACAAAAAATTGGTAAGATCAGGCTGGAATAAAAAAAAATAAAAGTAAAAAATAAAATAAATGAATATGTACTTTTCGCTGTTTGATTTATTTGATTGAAAAGTACGTTTTAGATGATCGTTCAGATTACTAATGAACGTTATAAACGACAAAGAGAACAAATGTCATAGGTCAAACAAACACTTTTTGTTCTGTGCATTGGAATCGGTTCGTGGTTACACACGTGACAAAACCACTGATTTTCTCAAATTCATTTCGTTCATTCCGTGTACAACTTGACACATGACCAGTTGTACATAATGAGTATTATATGAACGCTTACTAAAACTATTATTTGCATGCATTATCTTATTTCTTTCCTAAAATATCTTTAGCATTTCATGGGATAATCTTTAGAAAAACTCAT